AAAAAACAGGCTGAGAAAAATATTTGCAATACGTCACAGGCAATACCCAACAGTCACTATGTAATAACCATAATACAAAGAGCTCCAAAAAAAATAGAGAAAACAAACAATCCAGTCAAAGAAGGGATTCACAGGCAACGCTTAGAAAAAATGAAAAGTATTAGTAAGAATGAAGGGAAGCTTGACTTCCCTAGAAAGTCATGTAAAATAAAGCAATGATGACATCAATATTTACTTATCCGATTGGAAGAAACAAAAAACGTTGGTGATGTTCGGTTTGGGCACAATTATGCAGAAATGGATGCTTTCATACACTGTTGGTGAAGGATGAATAAACAGGATCTTTCTGGAGAGTGATTTGGAGATGTTAGTATGTTAAATCTTAACATTAAATGTTAAATATCAATATATAAACCTCTGAAACAGTGTTCCCACTTCTGGAAACTTAGCCCAGAGAAGTACTCATGGATATTCAAGAAGAGCTATGGATAAGAGTAACAGCAAAAATAATGGGAATAAAGTAGGAATTTCCATGAATAGAAGACTGATGAAAACTAAATTGTGTGTGTCCAATAGTATGGAACACCGGGCATCTTCAAGATAGACTGGGATGAATGTGTTGTTAGAAAGAAGTCTGCGAGATAGTTGTTAAAAACAGGTTTCTTGGCCATGTGGGTGGGGTAAGTCTACTGTTATTTTTTAAAAATCTATGTGTGTATATCAGAAAAACAAACAACCCAATCCAAAAATGGGCAGAAGACCTAAATAGACATTTCGCCAAAGAAGATATACAGACTGCCAACAAACACATGAAAGAATGCTCAACATCATTAATCATTAGAGAAATGCAAATCAAAACTACAATGAGATATCATCTCACACCGGTCAGAATGGCCATCAACAAAAAATCTACAAACAATAAATGCTGGAGAGGGTGTGGAGAAAAGGGAACACTCTTGCACTGTTGGTGGGAATGTAAATTGATACAGCCACTATGGAGAACAGTATGGGGGGGTTCCTTAAAAAACTAAAAATAGAACTACCGTACGACCCAGCAATCCCACTACTGGGCATATACCCTGAGAAAACCATAATTCAAAAAGAGTCATGTACCAAAATGTTCACTGCAGCTCTATTTACAATAGCCAGGACATGGAGGCAACCTAAGTGTCCATCAACAGATGAATGAATAAAGAAGATGTGGCACATATATACAATGGAATATTACTCAGCCATAAAAAGGAATGAAACTGAGTTATTTGTAGTGAGGTGGATGGACCTAGAGACTGTCATACAGAGTGAAGTAAGTCAGGAAGAGAAAAATACTGTATGCTAACACATATATATGGAATCTAAAAAAAAAAGAAAAAGAAAATGGTCAGAAGAACCTAGGGGCAAGACCGGAATAAAGATGCAGACCTACTAGAGAATGGACTTGAGGATACGGGGAGGGGGAAGGGTGAGCTGTGACAAAAGTGAGAGAGTGGCATGGACATATATACACTACCAGATGTAAAATAGATAGCTAGTGGGAAGCAGCCGCATAGCACAGGGAGATGAGGTTGGTGCTTTGTGACCACCTAGAGGGGTGGGATAGGGAGGGTGGGAGGGAGGGAGATGCAAGAGGGAAGAGATATGGGGACATATGTATATGTATAGCTGATTCACTTTGTTATAAAGCAGAAACTGACACACCATTGTAAAGCAACTATACTCTAATAAAGATGTTAAAAAAATACATAAAAATTTTGGGGCTTTCCTGGTGGTGCAGTGGTTGAGAGTCCGCCTGCCGATGCACGGGACACGGGTTCGTGCCCCGGTCCGGGAAGATCCCACATGCCGCGGAGCGGCTGGGCCAGTGAACCATGGCCGCTGAGCCTGCTCATCTGGAGCCTGTGCTCCGCAACGGGAGAGGCCACAACAGTGAGAGGCCCGCGTACTGCAAATAAATAAATAAAAATTTTAAAAAACAAAGATAATAATAGTACCTACATCATAAGATTGTTGTAAACATTGAATAAAATATGTAAAGTACTCAGAAAAAAAAAATCTGTGTATGTATACATGCATATGTCCCAGTTCACTAATTCCAGGTTGCATACCCTCTTCACGTTTTCACAGGATATGTATGTCATCACTAGCATTTTTTTTTTTTTTTTTTTGCGGTACGTGGGCCTGTAACTGTTGTGGCCTCTCCCGTTGCGGAGCACAGGCTCCGGACGCACAGGCTCAGTGGCCATGGCTCACGGGCCCAGCGCTCCGTGGCATGTGGGATTTTCCGGGACCGGGGCACGAACCCGTGTCCCTTGCATCGGCAGGCGGACTCTCAACCACTGCCCCACCAGGGAAGCCCTCACTAGCGTTTTTGATTCTATAATATATGGCACCATATTTGTATAAGCACAGAAAAAATGTCTGGAACAGTACTCAAAACTGCACCACGGGGGTGGGGGGCAGGATTAGGGAGGTTGGGGAGGGCACTTTTACTGTCTTAAACACGTCTGTGAGTTTAAATTTGTACTGTGAGCACATGTCATTTTTGCCGTGTGTGAAAACAACACGTCAACAACAGAGGTACCAGGTACAGACCTGGCCATGGTCAGCCCCACCAGATTTCATCCTGAGCCACTGGATGGCCGGTTTTACTTTTCAACCCTGGACAACCTTTATTCTTAAGGGGGTGGCAATTCTCCTTTTGTGGTTTTTTCATCTTCCCCAGAATCCGAGCTGTCACCCCCGACAGCAGGAAGAGCAGAGCTGGAGCTCTGTGGCGTGGAATCTGGAGCAGGTGCTGGTGGCCTGCTGCGTCCGTGGCCTGTGCAGTTAGGACTTCTGTCCTGGACTCTGAATAACAGGAGGTTGGAGAAGAAAGCAACCTTAGAGGGCACTGTATTCAGCTTTCTCATCTCATGATTTCATCCCTGAGGAAACGAAGGTTCAGAGACATGAAGCGATGGTCCCAGTCCTGCAGGGAGAGCTGGCCCTGCCCTGGAGACCAGGCTTCGGGGTCCCAGCCATCGTTCTCTCCCATGGGGTTCTGCTGAATGTGTGAGCCAAGAACTAAGATCCCCTTGACCCAGTATTTATGTAGCTCTGAATTCTGTAGGACTCTTTGACGCAAGTCCCAGAAAACATGCACAATGGTGGGGACATTTGCAGGGGTATTGAACAAGAAGTCCAGATGTAGTTCTCAGGGTTGTTCGTGCTGTTCAAAGATGTGATCAGGGACACAAGCCCTTTCCTCCATCACCTTCAGTGTGTTGGTTTTCACATCAGGTTTGTTACCTCAGTGTTGCAAGGTGGCTGCCATAGCTGTAGACACATGTTTTCACAGAACAGTGGTCAAAGCAGGAGGGGAGGGAAGAAGTCGGAACCTCACTGCCTAATCCCCCTTCCTTCCTGTTAGCCAGGGTTAGTCACAGGCCCATCCCTTAGATCGGTCACTGGCAAAGGGGAAAGGGGTCATTTGATTGGCTTAGACCACTCCTGATTCATCCTCTGGGGCAGGCATGTCATTGCCACCTGGGGTTCTGTTAGCAGCCCAGAGAGGGGCAAGGAGCAGTACTGCCATCTGCTCCTAACCCTTGGTAGTGAGAGAGAAAATCCCCTATAATAACTTCGCCCAGCCGGGACATCCACTGTGAGTGCTTTTGGGGAACTTGTTGCCCGTTGGTACGTAGGCAGGTGATACTGGTCATGCCTGATGGAGGCTGAGGGGCTTTGTTGTTATTATGGCTACACTGAAATAGAGTTCACATGCCATCTGATCCGTTCATTCATTCATTCATGTATTCATTCATTCATGTATTAATTAATCTATTATTTTTGGCTGCGTTGGGTCTTTGTTGCTGCACGTGGGCTTTCTCTAGTTGCGGCGAGCAACTACTCTTCGTTGCGGTGCACGGGCTTCTAGTTGTGGTGCACGGGCTTAGCTGCTCCGCGGCCTGTGGGATCTTCCCGGACCAGGGCTCGATCCAGTGTCCCCTGCACTGGCAGGCGGATTCTTAACCACTGCGCCACCGGGGAAATCCCTGACACTCTTCTCAACTACCTCGTCAGGTGACTGCAAACAAAGCACGTGGGGTGGGGGCCAGGCACGCCCAGGTGTGCTCTGGAATGACGGTGTAGGCGAGGACCCGGGAGCATCATGGAGCGGGGTGCGGGGACCCAGGGCAGCGATGGGGGTGGATGCTGGGAGCAGGCAGTGAGGAGGGACCACCAGCCGCGACTTTGGGGTGGAGAGAAGCGAAGCTCTGGAGGCAGAATCGGCAGCACCGCGTACGGATGTGTCTGTGGGGAAGGACGGGGGAGGTTGTCAGCACCCGCCCCCCCCGGGGTGGGCGAGGCTGCGAGGGGTGGAAAGGTCAGTCACTGAGGCCCGGGGCGGGGGGGGGGTGGGGCACGGGCCTGGGCCGAGCCGAAATTGGAACAGCTGGGCTTGGGCCCGGGATCTCCTGGGGAGACCGACAGGCGGCAGGGGGCGCAGGCCGGGCTCTCCGGAGGCGCCGGGGCTGCAAGGGAAGGGTCTGGGGGTTCAGTTAAGGGCCCCGTGTGAGGCCTTGGGCCTAAGCTCACCCGGTGTGAACAGGGGGCCGAGGCGGCGCTGGGGGCGAGGATGGGGAGCCCGGCCCAAGGGACGGGCCGCGCCTCCCCGTCCTCGGGCGAGCCCTGCCGTCCAGCGGGGTCCGTGGTGTGCGTTGGGGGAACCCCGAAGCCTGCAGGTCGTCGCCTCGCCCGGCGGCGGCGCGGGGCCCTCTCGCGGCAGGTCCGGCCCTGACCCCCAGCGCGGGTTCCCGGCAAGGTGCGAGCGCTCGGACCGCCCCGCCGGGTGGGGCGCACGGAGCGCGGGGCCGGCGGCGGGGCGGAGGGGGCGGGCTCGGCCGAGGCGCCAGCCCCGCCCCCGCGCCGCCTTCGTCCCGCCCGCCGGCCGGCAGAGCTCGAGACCCCGGCTCAGAGGCGCGGTCCGGGCGCTCGTGGCAGCGCGGCGGGGCCGGGTGGCGATGCCGCTGGAGCTGACACAGGCCGCGCTGTACGTGGTGCTGGAGCTGGCGCTGGCCGCGCTGGCGGTGGCCGGCAATGTGCTGGTGTGCGCGGCGGTGGGCGCCTCGAGCGCGCTGCAGACGCCCACCAACTACTTCCTGGTGTCCCTGGCGGCGGCCGACGTGGCCGTGGGGCTCTTCGCCATCCCCTTCGCCGTCACTATCAGCCTGGGCTTCTGCACCGACTTCCACAGCTGCCTCTTCCTCGCCTGCTTCGTGCTCGTGGTCACGCAGAGCTCCATCTTCAGCCTCCTGGCCGTGGCCGTCGACAGGTACCTGGCCGTGCGCGTCCCGCTCAGGTGAGGCTCCGGCCGCGCGGAGCCCCGGCCCCCGGGGCCCCAGACCCTCCCGGCCGGGGCGCGGGGCGCGCGAGTTCCGGCCCGCAGCCTCCGGACACACGTGCGCCGGGCTCGACCCTCTCGGCGCCCCGGGCGCGCGCCTCCTTCAGGGGACCCGAGTAGGGACAGCCCTGGGGCCCCGGGGGTGCGGCCCGGCGGGGCAGCTCCGGGGAAAGCGCCCCGAGCGGGCGGGAAGGGGCCCGGCGAGCGCTGGGTGGTAGGGCCGGGGAGAGAGGCTCCAGGGCAACCTTGGACGCGGGGATCTGCGTGGGCAAAATGACGCGACTCGCCGCCCGACTTCAGGCTGTACCTGCCAACCCGGGCGGAGGTGCCAGTTAACTTTGGGGAACGCTGCGTGCTTCGTGCGGACTCTGATCGCCTCCTTATACTTTAGAGAGAGTTAAAGTGCTTCCCCGCTCGCCGAGACCCACAGCCTGAGAGCCTCGTGCGTTGTATAGCCTTGTTTATCTGCTGCCCAGTCCCAGCGGCTGGGAAAGTGCCACCCGAGTTTCCAAACGCTGGAGGACTTGAGGGTCGCTGTTTCTCCCACACTCCGAAGTTGTAGGAGCCAGCCGTCAAGGGGAGCGGAGTCCCAGGTGTAGCTGGGAGCTTGAGAGCCCGAGCATCAAAAGCATCACATGGGGCTTAATTGAAAGTATTTACTCTCTCCCTCTCTCCCTCTCTCCCTCTCTCCCTCTCTCCCTCTCTTTCTCGCTTTCTGTCTTTCTACACCATGCAGCTTGTGGGATCTTAGTTCCCCGACCAGGGATTGAACCTGGGCCCCAGCAATGAAAGCACTCCCTCCCTCCCTCCCTCCCTCTCTCTCTCTCCTTCAACCTCTTCTTCTCTCACTCGCTAGCGCTCTCTCTCTGGCTCTCTGGCTCTCTCGCTCTGTCCTGTGCGCATGCCTGGATCCCCTTTGGCGTTTCTGAGTTGGGTGAGCTTGAGATCTCTTTGGGTCTAGAACTGAGACAGGGAAATTGAGTAGAAGGGAAAGGAAGGAATTAATGTCTTGAGTGCCAACTCTGTCGGGCGCTTTAAACTTACATCCTTTAATCCTGACAGTAATTCCAGAGGTAGGTACCTTCGTCCTGTAGGTAAGGGGAGGACACGCAGGATGGCGCCTCTGAATCAGTGTAGCAGCAGGACTGGGTCTCAGCGCTGGCCCCATGTTCCCGCTGTGTGTGGCATCAGTGTTTGGCATGTGGGCGGAGAGCAGACAGCCATTTCTGGAAGCGGACTCTGCTTGCAGTGAATTGGTAGCTGTACGGGAAAAGTGTTTGAGGGAATTGACAGGGGCGGGGGGCATGCTCCCAGAAGCCTTTGTAGCAGACTGGCGTGGCACACCTGCTCCCTGTGCTTTGTGTCCTGGGTCCCAGCGAGGGCAGGAGCCTCCTGCTTGGCCAGGCTGTGAGCCTCCTCTGTGTGTCTGGGCCTTTCCACGTGCTGCTGCCCTTGGCCTGTGACCCATGTGTCCCATCAGGTGTGACAGAGCCCAGGGGTTTCCGAGCACCGGGGCACACGGCACATGCCTCTTTTCTCTTAGGGCTCCCTTTCCTGCCTCTTGATCCTTGTGTTGGTTACTTGGTGGCCTTTTGGACTGTTTGCACCCAGCAGGCAGCCACAAGCCCCAACCTTATCTGAAGCCCCTTGGGTTTGGCCCTGGCAGAGGTCCAGAGAGACCTCAGCTCAGTGCGAGTTACTGGAAGAATCCCCCGTGCCCGTGGAGCAGGAAGTTCCATGAAAGTTTAAATCTGTTACTTCTTGTCCTGGTCTCTGCCGGGCGGTGTCTTGAAGGAATGGGTGTGGGTGTGTGAAGGCGAAAGAAATGTGAATCACAGGTCCCTAACTTCTCCTTTGCGTTTGCTGGAGGCAGGAGGGCGGGATGTAGGCATGGGGAGGGCAGAGCACCCCGGAGTGAGTGCCGGTCCCACCCCTGCCCTCCCGGCCTGCCTGCCCACAGGAGGTCAGAGGTCTGCAGGAGGTGTGTGTGACCTGTCCCAGGAAGGGATGGCATGTGTCCTGGCCCCTGGCGCCCAGCCCACCCTCACGGGCTGGAGAGGTCCTCACAGCTCCTGTTTCAGCACTTCCTGGACTGCCGAGCTAAAGAGCAGATTACAGGGCCGCACCGGGCCTTCCCGAATCAGAATCTCTGGGGCCGGGTGTGTGAGGATTCCAGTACCAGTATGTAAGCGGGGACTTCCGGTCCCACCAAACTTCGAGGACCTCTGGGAGACGGGGGGCTCCCTTCTTTACTGACCCAGGCCGGGCAGCTCCCACTCGGCTCCGAGGCCCTCCCTGGGGTCACGGGCCAGTGGGCGTGAAGTTGGAAGTGTGCTGGGGAGGAGGGGTCTCCCTGTAGGGGCAGCAGTAGCCGGGGTGAGGGCCAGCAGCTTAGGCCCGCCTCCTACCCGGGCACGAGCGGGTCTTGGACTCGTCACCGGCGCCCCAGGGCTCTGACGGAGGCCCGCGCGGTCCCTGCGGCTGCCCAGGTGTCAAGGCAGATACCAGGGAGCGTTGCAGGAAAGGGGCGCCCGAGGAGATGGCCGGAAACGGAGACGAGAACTTGGGCCGACCTGACGAGGAGGCGTGTCTGCCTACACCGGGCCCTGCCCTTGGCCTCAGAGCGAGGGGCGTCCACACACAGGAGCACATCCGCCAACTGCAGTTCACGTGCGCAGGCCCCGGCCGGGGGTCCAGGCCCAGTGGTGCTCTGGGGAGCCGGCAGGGCGGGGCTCTGCGGGGCAGGGGTGTCTGCCCGCAGCTGCTGGCTCAGGCGTTTCCGGCAGGAGCCCTTCCTCCTCCCTAATCTTGTTGCCTGCCAGCCGCACCCCAGGCCACTGGAATGCCGCGTGGTTCCCCTCTGCCCACCTGGAGGTTTGC